GGTTCCTGCAGATAAGTTGGGTGAGAAAAAAAGGCTAAACAAAAGCATCTAAGATCATCAGCAGAATAAAAGGTTGAACAACATAAAAACATTTCCATAGCAAAATCTCAATCATTTCAACAACACCACAAAGCATATACAATTTCAAAGAATTGTTCAATTCTTTATTGGTTTCAACACACCACAATGCATATACAATTTCAAAGATTTGACTGAGTAAGAAACGTAATTGAAGTCAACAAGAGCTTTCATACCTCAGTCTTGGGAGATTCAGTTGGAGTGACACTGCTACCGACTCTCACTCCGACGGCTTTCCCGGGAAAACTGAAACAATATACAAAAAATAAGCAAATCGTAACATACTAAGCGAAGATTTCAAAAGATGAACAAGAAACGAATGAGATTAATACGAACCTTTTAGCGAGTTGGGAAGCAACGGAATCGTACCACTGGCTAACATTGGGGAAAACATCGCCGGGATTCTCCAATATGGCAGCGTAAACCTTCACATCATCCACCGAAAGCTGATCGCTGAATAAAAAGAAGAAGAACAAATCAAACTCTCAAAACGTCAAGAGATAAGTATGAAACCAAGCTAATGAAGATGGAAAGTTTACCCGGAGATGTAGGTTTTTCCGGAGAGGTATTCTTCGACGGTTTTGAGACCTTGCTCTGTGTGCAGATCAGAAAATGTAATCGCCATTGTTGCTCAAGGTGTGTAAAGTGAGCAAGAGAGAGAGAGAGATAAAAGCCGGTTTGTAATCTCTAGAAACATCTAAACCGGGATGGAATATTCCCCGTAGCACGATCGGACTGGTCCAACGAGGAAATTTAATGGTTTGGGATTTTCAAAAGGAATTCCAGTGGGCCCCTCCTTCCTTTCTAGAGGCATCCATCCCCACTGTGCGACTCGCACGTATGAATACTCTGCAAAAAAATCGACCTCTTTTTTTTTGTTTCTTTACTGTTTGCACGAATTTGTTCAGATCACATTTTTTAGTTCTAAAATAATCACAAAATCTGTCAACATTTTGTTTTGAGGGAAAAATGAATAAGCCTTGACAAAAATAATGTTACTCTTACAGATTAACCTACACTCATGGTGTTTTGGTCAAAAACCAAATCAAAGAATTTGACTTGAAGAGCACAAACTAATTTTCACAGCTTCTCCGTTGCAGATAGAGCCTCTTCCACTGTTGTTACATCATCAAGCTTGTGACCATTCATTTCAGAACTGACAATATGTGCTTCCTTAGACCTCCATTCTTCTTTAAGCCCAGTCACTAGCACGTCGCCTAGACAAACGTCTAACCGCAAACCCTTCTCTTGCATTTCTCTGTACCAAGCAAATGCTCCCATATAATCCTTCCCCTCACATTGTCCCTTCACCAGTATGTTATATGTATCAGCTTCAGGATCCAAGCCCCGGGCTTTCATCTCGTTAATCAAATTCTTAGCCTTGCTCAGGTTTCCTGCCTTCAGTTGTCCCAGAATCAAGCTGTTATAACTCGTTTTATTGAAACCAATTCCTTTCTCCATCATCTCCTGCTTCATTTTAAAAGCCTTATCCAAATCTCCATGTACCGCGTAGCAATGGAGAACCCTATCGTAAACTAATATGTCTGGTTCCAACGACATCTCTCCAAATATTTTCTCAGTGAGCTCTATCCCCTCCTTGGTGCAGGCATTGATCAAAAGATGATATGTTTTCAAATTGGGTTTTATTCCTGATCTCTTCAGCTCTTCATACAGCGCGACACATCTTTGCACGTTTCCAGCATGTTCATATCCAGATAGTAGCGAGTTATACGTATAAATATCTGGTTCAAAACCCTTTCTTGAGATTTCGAGGAGCAATTCTTCAGCTTCTGCTAATTTTCCGGTTAAGGACAACCCGTTAATGAGGGTATTATAAGTCACCAAGTTTAAATCTATTCCCTTTTCGAGCATCTCCTCAGAAAACCCGAAAGCATCTTTTATCTTCCCCTTTGAGCAACAACCATCAATTAGCATGTTATATATCCTTGCATTGGGTAAAACCCCTCTGTCTTCCATATCATTCTTAACGAGCTCAGCTTCGAGAAGCTTAGAACCTTTGCACAAACAATTGATCAGATTTCCATAGCTAACTACATTCGGCATCGTCCTATTGTTTTCCATTTCTTTAAGAATGTCGAAGCACTTATCAAATTCACCATTTCTCCCATATCCCCAAATCAGGATGTTATATGTCTCGACGCTAGGAGAAACTCCCTTCAGTTTCATTTTGTTAACCTCTTTCTCAGCATTCTCCATTTCCCCCAGTTCACAATATCTCCTAACCACACAATTATACGCCAAATGATCTGGCTTCATCCCTTGTTTCTCCATCGCTTCAATTTTCAATCGAGCTCCAACCAGATCACCTTTTCGACAGTATCCATCAATCATCGTGTTATAAATAACCTCGTTCGGGACAAGCCCCCTACCCATTTCTCTCCCCAAAATCTCTTCTGCCTTCTCTATCTTCCCTTCTTTGCATAACGCATTCAACAAAATGCTACACGTAAAAGCATTCATTTGCACGCCAGAATCGACGGCTGTCTCATAAACACCCAAAGCAGCCTCAGCATTTTCGTTACTCGAATAACCATCAAACAGAATACTGAAAGTGAACGCATCTGGTACAAACCCATGATCCTTCATTTCCTTTAAAACATTCTCTGCATCTTCCACCATCCTTGCTTTAAACATCCCCTTAAGCAAAGTATTGAACGTAACAAGATTCGGATCAATACTATCCGCTTTCATACGTTCTCTCACCTTAAAAGTCTTTTCAGGATTCCCAGCTTTGCAATATCCATCGATCAAGGTGTTATACGTAATCAAAGTGGGTAACAATCTTCTCTTAAGCATTTCGTCGAACAACTGTTCTGCATCTTTAATCTTTCTCGCTTTACACAACCCATCGATAAGGATGTTGTAGATAAACACAGACGGAGAGATTCTATCGTGCTTCATGCGATTAAACAAGTCTAAACCCTTACCTACATCGCTCAATCTGACGGCGGATTGGATTGCTTTCGCATACATGAACTTGCTCGGACGAAAATCAGATTCCAGAATATTCAAAAACACATTTATAGTCTCTCTGTATTGTTTCGCTTTCACAAGATGATCGAGCAAAAGCGTTAACGAATCTGAGCTGGGAAAAATACCTTCATTCCTCAACGCGAAAAACAAATCCACAGCTTCAGGAATCATCTTCGATTCGGTTAGCAGAACAGAGAGAAGCAAGTAGGAGAAATCGTTTCTCAACGACGGTGATGATAGCGAGAAGGCGGAGAAAAGCTCCTTCGGCGATGAGAAAGGCGCAAAATCCGATCGAACCAGCGAAGAGAGAACCCCACGCGCCGATTCAATTCGATTCTGCTGGAGAAGAACTCGGAGATTCCTCAGCTTTTCGTGTCGTTCTCCGTCTCCGTCTCCGGTAACGGGATTCAGAGGCGGGGGTTGAGATTCGGGTTCAGGGTGAGCCGTGTCGGAGGAAGCAGAGAAGAGACGACATGAGCATGCGGAGGCAGACTTAGCTAATTTGACGGTGGCGAGACGAGAAGATCTCGAAACGAGTCGTAAGCGAGTCACCATTGTTGAGCTGCCGGAGATGCTCGGCAAATGTGAAGCCACTTAAACCTTACGAAATAACTTGTTCCAGTAAAAACATTTATTTTAATTTATATCTATTGTTAAAAGGAATTTGAAATGAATTATCTTATTTTATTTTAAATGAAATTATAAA